GTTGTTTCATTCAGCCATTTCCATATACAGTTCAAAAATGGAAGAAATCGGATAATAAAGACGCCCACCTCCAAAGGTTATGTTGAAAATCACTAAAAGTGTATTAACCGACTAACAAAAAACGTCAGAAACTCTTAATTTTACGGAAGAAATGTCAGAAGGAAGCTGCATCCAGCCTTTTTTAAAAATTGGAAATGGGCGTGGGGTCGCCCACTTATGGACCAAAAACCATATCTCAGGAAGTACTCTACCGATTTCAATGAAATTCAGTACATAATATTTTCTTAACACCCTCATGACATTTACGAAATATGGGTTACATCGGTTCACAACCACGCCTTCTTCCAATATAACGCTATTTTAATTCCATCTGATGCCTTCTCTGTATAACATATCCATTAGGAACCAAAGATGCTAGCGGAATAAACTTTACACAAATACGGTATTTTATGCGAGAGTATAAAATGTTCGGTGACACCCGAACTTAGCTCTTCCTTACTTCTTTTTTTTTTCATTTTTCATAATTTATTTCTTATCTTGTAGCGATAGTATGGCTTTACTTTAACCCTTATTAGTTAGTCGCTTCCCAAGTATTTAAGCTTATCTGTCTCCTAGCATTTACATCTTATTATGTTTTATATAAAAATATATATTATATATATTCATAAGTTTCTAGGTAATCATTTATTTTTCACAGTGGACTAAAGTTCAACCAACCGTCTTTAGGTTATAAAAACAAGACCATGTAAATATGTTTAGTCCGGACGGCACCATGGTACGGAGCTCACTAACGTTATGCAAAATACCGGAAAACCCAATTGCAAGAGCATGTCTGGCGACGCATTCAGGGCGCAACAAACCGGATTTTTGTATGTGGCGCAAGGACATGGAATAGATTACTATAAAAAGTACCACAGTTCTAAATGCGCAGAATATACGTAAAAAACTACGTCTGGCAAAGCAGACAAGTTTGAAAAAGCATACTCACTGAACTAAGTGGGTAGTAAGTGGTTTAGTTGTAATTTTGTTGGTGTAAATGGGTTAACTGCGAGTCGATAAACGACAAGCGCGAAAAGACAGACTAAAATTCACAAAAACTTACATTGTGTAAGGTTGTAAAATAAGGAATAAAACGAATATAATTGAAGTTTTTTAGTTCGAGTTAAATGTAGACCGGCGCAGCAGCCATGCTTGTGCTTTTAGTTTGAGCAAATATGGTTGGTATTTTAATAAATGCGGTAAGTTGGTAAGTTAGTAGCAAAGATACTATTAGTGTGACTGTATTAAGCCAATAATTACAACAAATATAACTTACGAAATAAGACACAATTTCGACAGAAAAATATTGAATGTGGTTTTCTTGGTAGACACGCCAACTTTGTTGGACCAAAGCTGCCACAATGTAGTCTTCAGCACTCTTAAGCGTTTGCATCACACCGAAGTGCTCTTTCACTGGCCACGCGAATTCCCGCCAATGGCAGATGTATGGTTGGAACTCTTCACGCTTTATTGGCAGCATGGCTTTCACAATTTACTGGTAGTGGATGTTCGAGCTCAACTACTCAGTCTGGAACCATTTCCACAACTGCGCGTGGTTAACACTACTTTAAAGACATATCTGTATCAACGTAACAACATGTGGCATGATTTGAAAAGTCACCGCCTACGCATCTCTTATATGGATGATCCACCAAATGCGCTCATCTTTCGACACCCGGAAACCGGAGAGTGGCAGTTCGACGGCATTTCGTCTCAGATATTTTCGGCATTTGCGCAACGTCACAATCTTACGATCGAGCCTTGGATTGCACAAAACTACAGCGACGCTAATAAAGATCTTATTTGCAGGGAACGACTACACGAGCGCCTTGTGGATGCTTGTAGTGATGGGACATCGTTCAGAGTAGAAAACGTAACGAGCGCGCCTATAGCATTACTTAACTTTTATTTAGTAGTACGTTCCGCGCCACCACTCTCCAAGCTATACTATTTTCAAGTGCCCTTTCAACCGGCAGCTTGGCAAGCCATCGGTGCCAGCATCTGTTTGGTAATAGTTGTTACAGCGCTCTTGACACGACTGCAGGACGGCGGCTGGCACTTCGGTCGACTGGGCTTGGATGTGTGGGCTAGCTTTCTATATTTAGGGTTTGATCTGTATCCAATGCAAACACGATCGATGCGAACGTTGATGTTTTTAACGCTCTTCGTTGGCGGGTTCATGCTCTGCAGTTTCTATCTTGGCTATCTGTCGAGCATACTCGGCAAGAGTGTTTATGAGCCGCAAATAAGGACGCTGCAAGATTTTGAACGCAGCAACATAACTCTAATGTTAAATGAAATTCAGTATATGACTTTAAAAAGGTATGGCGCAGCCTCGATTGTCATCGATCGTTCGCACATTGCCCGCTGGGAAGAACTTCTAAAGAATCGCAACACTTTCGACACTCGCTACGCTTACCTGTTCCCAGATACAAGCTATGAGTTACTTGCATATCAACAAAAATTTTTGCAATATCCAATCATGCAGAAATTGGACGAACCAATACTCAAAGTACTGTTAGCACATGCCTTCAAGGAGGGTTGGCCACTTGAGGAGCTATTCAACAAACATTCTCTAGATATGTTCGACACCGGCATGTATCTACGGCACCTTGCAGAAGGGAACTATAAATCCATGCGTTTGGGTCATGTGAATTATGCAAAAATAGAACGTCCCAGTGTCGCACCTTTGGGGCTGGAATATATTGCTATGCCAGCGCTGATTTTGGGATTTGGTTGTACTTTGGGCTTTATTACGCTGAATTACTGTTTTATAGATGAAGCAGATTCGAGTAAATAGAGCTAAAAATCACGAACACATACTGCTTAAATGCTTATCAAATAACAGTATTTTGTCAAAATATATACAATTTCTTTAACATATGTAAAGAATCTTGGCTTGCCAGTCAGTCATTGAAATCTTATTTATGAATTTTGAAATCCTGAAAACTTTTCTATTTTATATCGCATTGAGTTTATTACAAATGTATGTACTTTGGAGTGATTCAAAAAAGTTTTTTTTTTTTTTTTCATTTGGTACTCTGAAAAATAGGTTTCTAGACACCTCTAAGGAAGCCTCTCCAAGAGTGAGCTCTTAATTGTAACGGGAAGGTATTCTACTTACAGTTTTCTATTTTTTTCTTATTATCAGATAGAAAAATTTATATCTTGCTTCCAACCACTTCAAAAAATATTTTGTTCATTAGATTTTGTAGGAATTTTAATGCTTTACAAAAATGGTCTAACACGATTTTTTCGTTTAAAAGATATCAACAGTTGAAGTTTCATTATTTTTGGGAAAATTTTTTATTTCTTATTTTATAACTCAATGAAAAAAAATCATTATGAATGAAACTCATATGTATTTGGAGAGGTTTTCTTAGAGGTATCTAGGAACCTATTTCTCATAGTACAAAACGAAAAAAAAAATTTTCGTTTTGAATCACTCTAATATAACATATAGGCATACATATCTATACGCGACCTGAACAATTTCGGCGGAGATTGCAGCGCTCCTCTTTATTTTAATAGGCCTGTTTGTATGGCAGCTAAGTGCGTTTTGCGTCTGATATCGCCGATTCCGACCAATAAGCTTAGATAGAAAAGGACGTGAGCAAAATTTCACATCGATATCACAAAAACTTAAGGGCTAATATGTGTACATATGTATAGACCTAAGGGCTACAAGTATTCAGGTAGGCACTAATTGTTGTGAACGATTTTTATAAAGCTTAAAAGCATGTGTCTTCAATGATTGGTTTACATGCTAGAATAAAATGTTTTTGAAGATAACTGAAAACATAAAAAAATCTTAAAATTTATTTTAAAGAATTCTGCTTAACTAGGTTTAAAAACTATCCAGTTTATCAATAACTCAATTTTCTGCGTTAGTTAGTTTGCTTGCAGGAGAAACGAAATTCTTTATAAAAATAATATGCAAAATACTGAAAGTTGGTTTCATGTTTTTAAAGAGTGCTTTTTTATATAGGTGAAGAAGTCTGTTTATTGGTGCTGTTGAAGACGTCCGTGATTAGCTTAGCAGAGCTGGTGGCAGAAAGTGGCCAGATGGGCTCATAAAACTACTCACAATCACACCGGTACATAGTTGAAATGTTATAAGTTGAAGCTATAAAATCCCCCGTAGGTGAAAGGGCATCAGACAAACCAAGCAATTGAAATTATATAATGCTTAGATCCTTCCCCTGTTTTGTACGCTGTGTTTGAAGCCCGCCACTTAAAAAAACCTCAATGAAAAGAAGTACGGGATGGGGTAGATACTGCAGAATGGGGTAGATACCGAGAGTTGAAGAAAGAAACGAGACGAACAAAAAAGAAAGAGTCCGAAATGCGAAATCTAGTGACTGATGCCAAGAGCGTACTGAAATTATGGAGGTAACACTTCTCCAGCCTGCTGAATGGGATGACGGTGAGGATAAAGCAGACGTTCATCGTCCCATTGCTCATGGTTGAGCAGAAGTTCGAATAGCAATTAATTAAGAACAACAAATCGGCGGGGGCCGATGGATTGCCGGCCGAGCTATTCAAACACGGCGATAAAGAACTGGAAAGGAGCAAGCATCAGCATCTTTGTAAAATATGGTGGGACGAAGGTATGCCCAATGAATGGAATTTAAGTGTACTCTTGCCAATCCAAATAAAGGGAAACCTCACAAGCTGCGACAACTACCGTGAGATAAGCCTCCTTCACATCGCGTATAAGGTTCTATCGAGCGTATTGTGTGAAAGATTAAAACCCACAGTCAACAATCTGCTGGGACCTTACCAGTGTAGCTTTAGACTTGGAAAATCAACAACCGACCAACTATTCCACATGCGCCAAGTCTTGGAAAAGAGAATCGACATACGCCGCCTCTTCGCCGATTTCAAAGCTGGTTTTTGACTGCACGAAAATGAGTTGCCTTTTATTCCACTATATCAAATTCGGTATCCCCACAAAACTAATATGGGTGCCGTTAACCAATACCAAAAGCTTCATCAGGATCGAGAAGGACCTCTGCGTGCCGCTCGATACCAAACGAGGTTTCAAAAAAGGTGACTCCCTATCGCGCGACTTCTTTAATCTTCTGCTAGAGAAAATAATTTTAGCTGCAGAGGTGAACACAGACATCAGAGGTACGCCGATGATATTGATATCATTGGTCTCCACAAACGCGTCTTTAGTTCAGCTTTCGCCAGACTGGATAAGGAAACGAAGCAAATATATCTGGTAGCGAAGGAGGGCAAGACGAAATATCTCCTGTCATCAAACAAGTAAACAGTCGTCGCACTCGCGACTTGGCTCCCACGCCACTGTTGACGTTAACAAATCAAAATTTCGAAGGCTTTTAAGTGATTTTTTAAGTGATTTAAGTCTATCTGGAAGCCAGCATTAACACGTTTTGTTGCGCTGGAGTTCGAGTCTGACGTTGTTGGTGGTGTTAATGCTGGTTCCATGATGGACGACTTCAAAATTATGGCTGTCAACATAAGTTTAGATGTAGATTATATATAATATATATTTCGTCTTGCCCTCGTTTACTACCATAAATATTTGCTTAGCTTCTTTGTCCAATTTCGAGAAAGTTGGACATCAGACGGGTAATTGCTATTGGAACTTCTTCACGGTCGGGAACGTCTGCTCTATCGTCAACAATTTTGGAATTGGCTACACCATCTCCTGGTGTTAAGCTTTCACTGCAATTAAACAGTTATCGGTATGCCCTGGGCATCAATCACTAAACCACCTCTGGGAGTTCTACAAGAGTAGTTAGTAGTTAGTCGGCTTAGCTTAGTCGGAGAGCCTGTCAATGAAGCCATCTAAACACGTCATTCACAATACCATAAACATTTGGGAAAATCATTAAATCTCGGTACAGTAACAACTGACTCTGCCGCTGTCACATATAAAAGTACATAAATATGTAAGGCAGAAAAAGGAAATAAAATCAATCCGTCACAATTACAATTTCGGGGAATTATATGGAATATCAAATATCCTCAACAATATAAAACCCAAGGAGAAAGAACTCACGGCAAAATGAATTATTTTTGGCGTTTTCAGTAATATTTTTATAAAACCGTTCTACTTGTAGTGCACTTATACAATTATAAAATTTAGTGGCATAGCTGATCTCTGTCCCATTTCGTACTTTTACTTTCACACATTTTGCTTCATTACGGTCTCTTTATAACCGAAAGAGTTTACACTCTGTTCATTTTCATGTACTAACAATAAATTTGGCCGCATATTTTCTGTTGGGCAGCCTCCGAAGTGAGTGCTAATCACTAATTTGTGTGAAAATGTCCAGTTATTGCTCATCGGATGGTCTTTAACATTCTCTTTATGTTCACCATGCCTATCACCAACATTGGCCTTATGCTGTTTGGTTGTTAATTAGTTCAATTATTTGCCTGTTTTCCGGTCTCGTGGTTTCACTCCCAAATTCAATAACTCATTACTTCATTAAGGGAAAGGAAAATTCATTTCGCTAATTTTCACTCATTCACCACTCGATTGTCTCTAATTATGGCAGGCCATCTTTCTAATTTGATGTGAAGTCAGAGACTATAATTTTTATTTTTAAGTTCGTTTTCTGTTAACCTTTTTTTTTACTAAAATGAAAGACTTTTACTTTGCATGGAAAATCACTTGAAAAACTTTGCCTTACAAGTTCTCTTTTGTTCAGAAAATGGTCTAAAGCCAAAATGGCTTCATTAATTAACTCAAAGTCAACAAAGATTCACAAAGCTGATTTTGATTAAATTTATTTTCAAGGAAAATCAATGGAAATTCTTCAAATTGTTAGAAATAATATAATTAAGCATTGATTGCATAATAAATTTTAACCTAGTATTTTTATTGAGAGTGAATTTGGTTCTTAAATATAGTTGTTCAAGAAGTATGTGTGACAAGGTGAGCAAGAGCTCATAAAGCCATTTAAGGAGTTCAGGATAGGTATAAGTGAGAGAAGGCCACACTGTCTTTTTAGTTTTTGCGATATAGAGAGACATTGGAACATGATTTAATACTATCTAACGGACGTATCATAGCCGTCGAGATCGTTGAACTATAACGATAGTTAGGTTAGGTTAGGTTTGATGGCTAATTCAGAGTCGCGCCAGTCGTTTCTTCTTTTCGCTACGTGGCGACAATTAGATATTCCAAGTGAAGCCAGGTCCTTCTCCACTTGGT